CATTTGTGAAATGGAGTGCTTGTAACATTTTTGTCACGGTTATGATTTTTATGAGGGCTTTATAATTTGAAGTTTTGAAATATTTTTAGATCAAATAATATTTGAAAGGTGAAATTAACATACATGTACTACTGGGACGTGTTTATCAAGGTTTTGAATATTTACAGTAAGGCGTTTTCAAAATGTAGGTAAGCACTGCAGTAGGCATTTGAAGACTGAGAACAGTCATGAATTTTTGCATTCAGCATTTTCTTTTATAACATATATATGTTAATATGCAATTTGGAAGTGATGGATGAAAACAGAAAAATTAATAATGGAAACAGGGTACGTTTAGGAGTACGCAGATTTTTTTTTTTTTTTTTTTTTTTTTTTTTTTTTTTTTTTTGCTAAAAAAGTTCCACTTGCTGTTGGTAAATCTAAGCAGTTGATAAAAGATAATTGTTGCTAATCTTCCATTGTATATACATGTATGTCAGAACTAAAGAGGCACAGAAGCACTCTACAACAACCTCATCATGTGTGTTATAAATAATGATAATAATAATAATCTTAATAATAATAATCTGCATTTCAATTTTCTTTGCTTTCTTTACTTTAACACAATAAATTTCTGTTGTCAGACTTTTTTTGACTTATTTGTAATGCATACAATTTCGAGTCTGTGGATGAACTTCTTCTGGCAGTTTTCACGTACGATCAACGTCAATCATTTTAATACTGAGAATAGACTGACATTATTTACACTTTCCCAGAATAATGATTATGTACTTTTAATGGTTTCAATCAAGCTTCTATAATTATTTTCCCTATATAATATAATTTAGGGATATTAATACTTTTTAATTTCTTTATTTAAAATTACATAATGAAATCAAATTTAGTTAAAGCAAATTGTTCAGGGTTATAATTGCCACCTATTGTTAATTCCTGGGATATAAAGAGGTATAATATTGTAAAGAAGCGCGTGGTTTGCATAGTGTGCTCAAAAGTAACAAAATTACATCGAATTTCCTATAATTTGATAAAAAAAAAATTATATAAATAAGATAATAACAAGAAGTCCATAGGCCACTTCGGTTACCTGAGTACTTTTGTTGAAATCAGTTCAGTACTGAAAACTTTAAATATACAAGAGGTCCATCCTACCACACACCCCCTTCACCCAGTTTGAAAAAAAATGTACATAAACTGAGGATGCTTCCATATTCATATCATGATCATGGCTTTGCTACTGTTGAAGATTTTAAAGATTTTTTTTCCGTACATATCTTATGTAAAAAAACAGATCCTCTCTTGTGGCCCGCCTTACTCCCGACGATCATAATTTGAAAAAAAAAAGAAGAAAGAAATGGATCTTTACAACCTGATGTTGATTCCATATTAATAAACTAATCCTGCCTTTGCTATTCTTAAGTAGATTTTTCATGTACATTTCTATGTAAAACTGTGATCAACCATCGTAGCCCCCCCCCCAACCCCCCGGAGGTTATGAATTGAATTACGCTACCTTAAGATGCATTCATCGAAATTAGACTAATCATGGCTTTGCTGTTCTTGATAGAAAAAATTTTGAAAGGAATTTTCCTTCTTATTTCATTGTAAAACATTGAGCGCCCATTGTGACACAACCCTATGCCCGGGGATCATAATTTGAAATTTTATTTACTTTACATGAGGTTGCTTCTATATTAATATGACTCATGAAGACTTTATTGTTCTTGAGAAAAGGAATTTAAAAGATTTTTTCCTCCATATTCTAAAGTAAAACACTGATCGCCAGTTGTGGCCCCACCCTATACCCGGGGGTCATACTTGACTTGAATCTACACTACCTGAGGTTGCTTCTGTGTTTATGTGACTAAGCATTGCTTTGTTGTCCTTGAGGAGAAGATTTTGAAAGACATTTCCTACATTTTCCTATGTATAACTTTGATTCCATGTTGTGGCACCCTTCTTGCAAGGATGCTTTGTGGCAGTTTGGTTAAAATTGATTTAGCTGTTCTAGAAAAAAAGTCGAAAATTTGAAAAGTTTGCAGATAAAAATGAGCATTCGGCTCAGGTTAGCAAATAGAGGACCTTTGACTTAGAATTCCTTGAGTCTGCAGTTTAGATATTTATATATCGTCTGCATTTAAGGGGATGAAGGACACATGGTCACATGACTCTGTTTAACTACGTCATTGTCTCCGTTTATATAAGTGCAAAACGTGTAAAGCTTCAGTTCTTGTATAATTTTTTGACAATTTTTTAACTTTAATTACCATCTCATATTAAAAAAAAAATAAAAGTTTTAACATTCTTGTAAATATAAACAAATTGATCCACTCCTCTGTTTCCCTAAACTGCGCGTCCAACAAGTCGGTGACGTCATACACGATCTGTTAATACACCAAGATCATACTCGGTGAACAGTGGGGCGGTATTATTATGTAAAAACAGGTCATAATCAGTATATGATGAAATATTTTGAGAAATGGGGAACACAGAAATTATTTTTGCATGGCTGATGATGGAAATCTTATATAGGTATATCTTATTTCGCTTATTTAGCTTACGCGTGACATCATAGTTGGTTTTTCCCGTACTCGAGAAATGTAACATGACACGTTTTTGTCACGCTTATGTCGTCTTTAACGATGTCCTGTGAAATAATGAGGTCAGCTTCATCATTCGAAACTTTTACAGTTAATCAATAATTTGAAGGATTTGCATATCAACGTAAATTTAAAAATATTGAATGATAGAATTTTTTTGTAAATTACGTTTTTTATTGTTTAAGTTGTCTTAAAAAGTGCGTAATTTTCCCTATCCAGATGCAGTGTGATAGACAAAACTTGCTTTTTCGAATTTTAAATCCTAGGTATACTCTGAAATATTTTAAAAGATACATGTCCACTTTGAAATTTTTTATGTATGCTTAAAAAATCCCATTATGGACAGAGTAATGCGCCCGGAAACATGGAGAATTAAAACTCCACTTAGATACTGTAGGGCATAGTATTTGTCAATCAATATCTCCAAAATAAGATTAGAAACCTAATGATATAAGTGCTTTAAGATATGCGGGACATACTTAATTAGAAATGTACAAAATATGAAAAAAATTGAATGACAAGTATTTTTTCAGCTCAAGGTCCTTCTCCTCCTTAAATAGGAGGGGAAAAATGACTGATAATCAAGTTGTGCATATAGGAATTTGTATCAACAAGCAAGTTTATTTCTTGAATTTGATTTGAACCTAAAGACATAACAAAAGTTTTCTTGGATGCATTCACTAGAATATATTATGACAAAAGAAATCTGAAAAGAAAGACATTCCAGTTTTACAAAGTGAAGATTACATAGATCGGACAAAATGGCCCTTGAAAATCAATTAAAGGGAAATAACTTCCGACCCGTAGTGAATTTCCAAAATTTAAAGATCACGATACACCATCCCTGAAAATTTCTAGAAATCCATCCAGCCATCTCTAAGAAATCGTCTGCACAAAATTTGAAAATAATAATAATGATGATGATGATAATAATAATAAAATTAATAATACTAAAACTGAAAAAGAAACAATAGAATAATAGAAGGGAGGCGTAGGACCCTAATTATAGATAAAGATTTAATTATGTGTTGTAATTATTTAATCAAATATAATCAAAATTTTTTGATTTTATATCAAATAGTGAATTAATAATTTATGAAAGGATTTTATGTTTTGTTAGTCGGTATAAAACGTACGCAATTTATTAAATCATCATAACAATATAGTAAGGTGTAATACGAGTAAAAGTAGGTACGAATTACCTATTGCTGTGAACCGGAAGTTACCCCCCTTTTCAAACCAGCAGATTTTGCAACCAGACGCTTTTTCGAAGACGAGCAAAATATCCAGTACCATCGGCATCCCAGAGCAAGAAATAATGCCGCCAGTGAAGAGTAAAGCGACGGGAAGAACGTCCAGGAAGCGCAGAGAAAGTTTGGGAGCCCCAGCGAAAGGGAGAGGGCATTCGAAGCGGTGCAGACAAAGCACCAGTGCCACCACTTCACCACCACGCCGGGCCCCGGCCGAGTCGTCAGTCGGAAGCCTCCCAGTAGCTCCCCCTCTACCATCTGTGGAAGTTCACCCATCTTCGCTGACGTTATCACCACAAACACCAAACCCAAGCACCCCCTGAAGCGGTGAGATAATTTTTTCAAACCAACCTCGACAAGAAATCAGTTGCCATGATCCTTTGGGTTCACATGTACCTCAAAAAATTAAAAGCCAAATATGGGAGGGCAAATTTATAGATCTCTCACTGCTAACTAAAACCGCTTGTGAATTGCAAGATTATGAATCACAAGGGGACATTACATTTAAAGAAGGGCGTCTATGCATTGTTAAACCAAAAAGGAATACCTTTCTCACGATCGATAGATGGACCTCGGCTTTCATCATATTTACAAGCATAATGTTGGAGAAATTTCCAACATGGGCTCAAGAACTACATAAGTATCTCAGAGATGTAAGAATTGCTGCTACTAGGTCAAACAATTGGTTTAAATACGATGAGCAATTTCGTTTAAAAATGGCCAACCAGCCCCAGTTGTCGGTGGGGCATATAAATTTTGTAAGAATTTTGGCTTTTGTACATATCTAACAAACATGACACGTACAATATACATTCGGCTTCTTAAAGTCAAAGCTCTTACACAAACAATCCAAACCGTGCTTCGGCATTTTATTGTAATCATTTCTTCCCTAGGTGCAAGTACAGAAATGCATGCAGCAAGTGCGGAGATAATCACCCAAGTAACAGATGTTCAAAATACTAGCTGTATATATTCCTTGGGCACAACACCAATCAGGTTGCAAAACCTTCGTAAACACTTAGTTGGGTACTCAGACTGTGAATTTATATTGCAAGGTTTCAAGTATGGTTTTTATCTCCAGTATTTGGGCCCTAGGTAACCCCGCGAGTCTTTAAACCTCCCTAGCCTCAAGGCTAATATAGTAGTGGGTGAAATGAAAATTCAAAAAGAAGTAGCATTAAAACGAGTCGCAGGTCCTTTCGTTCACCCACCATTTCCAAACCTTCAGGTTCCCCCTTTAGGCTTTGTGCCTAAAAAAGATGGTGACATGCGACTCATACATCATCTCTCTTACCCGGAAAACATGTCCATTAATGATTTTATTGACCCTGAAGCTTGTTCAGTACATTATAGCAACATAGATCAAGCGGCAGAAATGATATCTAAAGTGGGGAAAGGGGCATATTTAGCAAAGACCGACATTAAGTCAGCATTTAGGCTCCTCTCAGTATCTCCGAGCGATTTTGGCCTGCTTGGGTTCAGATTTCAGGACAAATACTATTTTGATAAGATGTTACCTTTTGGATCTTCAATTAACTGTGCATTATTTGACAAGTTTGCATCATTCTTACATTGGCTTACTCAAAAATACTCCCAAAATGATTTAATAATTCACTACCTTGACGATTTTCTTTTCTGTGGCTCACCAAACACATTCACTTGCCACAATTCCCTCAATGTTTTTAAATCAATCTGTTCAGATATTGGTGTGGCAATTGCTCATGACAAAACAGTGGAACCTACACAAGTCCTAACGTTCTTAGGAATAGAGTTGGACACTGTCAATATGACAATGAAACTCCCCTTGGAAAAATTAAATCAGCTTCATGGTGAAATACAATATTTCTTGAAAGCAAAGAAGGTCTCCTTGAGAGAAATGCAGTCACTTATTGGCTTATTAAACTTCGCTTGCAAGGTTGTTGCCCCTGGCCAGGCTTTCTGTCGCCGCCTTATAAATTCAACAATAGGCATTACTAAACAGCAACACAGAATTAGGGTAACAAAGAACATAAAAGCTGACCTCAAAGTATGGGAGTCTTTTTTGCAATCTTACAATGGCATATCTGTTATTTCTTCCCAGCCCTGGATACACAACAACACAATTCAACTATTGACAGACAGCTCCGGGGGACCTTATGGAGGAATTGGCATTTATTTTATGGGCAAATGGGCTTATGGGCCCTGGCCAAACTCTTGGGCCGAACAAGGTATTACCAGGGACATGAATTTATTGGAACTTTTCCCTGTTGTGGTTGCTATTACATTATGGCAGAGCCACTTTGCAAATTCTATGCTTGTTTTCCACATCGACAATATGTCAGTTGTCCACATCATCAACAGCTTAACTTCCAAATGGGATAGGGTTATGAATCTTGTCCGCAAGCTCGTGTTAATATGCCTAAAATCAAATGTCTGTATTAAGGCCATATGTATCCCCACAAAACAAAATTTCATTGCCTACTCCTTATCTCGATTTCAGTGGGTCATGCGCAGATTCAGGCGACTGGCACCGCAGGCAGTCCTATGGCACACCCCACTACCAAGCCACATCTGGGAAATGTAAAGCTTGAAGCTGATAGATTACTACAGTGTTCAATAGCACCATCAACACACCAAGCATACTCAACAGCTCTTAACAAATTTCAAAATTTCCTTTCAGAATTTAATTTTCAAAGTATTTGGCCAACACCAGTTCAACAGCTGTTGCATTTCATTGGTTTCCTCTCAATTAATAATATGTCATACAGAACAGTATCACTGTGCTTAAATGCGATCTCCAACATACACAAAATACATGGTTTTCAAGACTCAACAAAATGTTTCATAGTTACTAAAACCTTGGAAGGGCTGCGTAGATCAGTAGGTATGAACAAAGACCCAAGAATCCCTATTTCATATGAGCTGTTTCACAAAATTATTCATTGCCTGCCCAATGTTTGCAATTCTACATACGAGTCTGCCCTCTTCTCGGCTGCATTTACTCTAACATTTTATGGCTTGCTAAGAGTAAGTGAAACACTTGCACTTAATTTTTCAGACATCGCAATTAAGCATGAAAATCTTTGCCAGATTACTATTCAAAGGTCTAAAACAGACCAAATTGGCCATTCTCTCATTGTAGATATCACCTCTCATATGGAATCCATTATCAACCCAAGTACAATCATAAATAATTTCCTGCTCCTTGGGGGGGGGGGGGGGTTGCAAGGAAATGACAAGCTCCTTACACATTTAAACTCTAAGCCACTTACAAAATATCAGTTCCAAGCCATATTACAAAAAGGATTACAATTTATTGGGGTCACAGGGCATTTTAGATCACATAGTTTTAGAATTGGCATGGCAACAGAGCTAGCCAAACAAGGTCTCTCGGATACTGAAATAAAGACAAAGGGAAGATGGCGATCTACTTCATATTTAAGTTACATTAGAAGACAGCAAAGCTCTTCCTCTTTATCCTAGCGCCTACTAACTTTACCAAAGATTTTTCAGGTACCCCTACCATTTGGATACTGGGATCATCAATTTCTTTCTGGGCAGGCCATCATGCTGCAACCTACCGACCAGGCGCTACTATGGTTAACACCAAAGGATATCTTCTATGAAATTCCCTCATCTAAATAAGGAATGTTTTTTTTTTTGTTGAATTACATGTTTTATGCTAAAAATGTAACATTATTCAATATACAGTAATGCTTGCGTGAAAGGAATTCCTAGTGACATGAAGTTTAGCTCCGTATAAACGATTTTCTTGATACACGTATAAAAAGTATTCACATGAGGGATTGGGAAAAGATATAACTTCCTTATAATTGGAAATTACCGTTCACGGTAGCTCAGTCGGTAGAGCGCTCGCTCCGTGATCGGGAGGTCGTGAGTTCGAATCTCGGCCGCGACAGACCTAAGTCGATAAAAAATAGGTAGCAACTGTTCCTTCGCCATGCGCTCGGCACTTTGAAGTGAAAGTTGCGGGTCCATCGGATGAGACCTTAAAAACCGAGGCCCCGTGTCACGGCAGGCGTTGGCACGATAAACATCCCTCACTGCTCAATGGCCCTGAGTGCCGAGTAAAGGTCAAAATTTGAAGCCCTTCACCGGTATATGGTGACGTCTCTATATGAGTGAAAAATTCTCGAATGGGACGTTAAACAATATACAATCAATCAATCAATCAATATAATTGGAAATTTCCCTGTATATGAGCTCATCGTAAACCAGTTTTATTGAAAAATGTATTATGGAAAAAATAATGAAATACTGCATATATATATACTTAATTCTATACTGTTTCAATGTAAATTATTTTCATTTTTTCTATAAAGAACCAATCCAATTCCATGATGCCTGTTGCTGTAGAGCATATAATTTGCTGGTCTTCACACTTTACACAATCCCTATCTAACATATCTAATTCAAGACAACTCAAGAGAGAGAGAGAGAGAGAGAGAGAGAGAGAGAGAGAGAGAGAGTTTAAAAGAAATTAAGATTGCATGTGTTTATCATTTATTTTTAACAAATGATACCTATCTTCTGTCCATTGCCTACCTTCCGAACAAATTTTGCAGACCACGAACACTTCCAACATAAAAATCAGGATAGCTCCCTTGTTATAATCAACAGTTACTTTTTGCTCACTTATTATCTATTGAATCTCATTTCTTTTTATGAAATGGGTCTTGAACAACAACGTGATAACGTAAAGAAAGCGCATAGATTTATTTCAGAATACTTGTCTTGACTGGCTCCTGTGTGATAAGTGGATTGGAACAAATAAAAATCTGAATGAAGCCATGGAATGACATGATCTATGACGACCAAAATCAGAAGGTTATTTTGTATATCAACATCTATGATGATTTATAGCATTTTTTTTCATTTTTCTCCAAACCGTAGGTATTTTAGCATGTTTCTATAATCCGCACAAGCATTGCAATTGCGTATGAACGCAAACGATTCCAGGACCAACATTTACGTGCAAATCTGACAACGCCTTAAAGACGTATGAGGTTTGTTGATGATCAATCGCAGGATTGACAGTTTCCCCTTTTATTCTTACATTAATCACCATAGAAACGCTAACAAACGTAAAAACCTGAAATAGAAAATCAGTTTGTAAACATGCACTAAGACAGATCGAAAATAGATTATTTTTTTTATGTATTTACAATATAACTTTCTCTAACATCACCTGTCTTCCTTACAACACATATTGTTTGTAAATTAATACCATAATTATCCAGTATGAACAACTTTTTTCTAAAAAATTGCAAGTTGAAGGAATGTTATTCATTTTGTAAAATTCTTATCTACACATAGTCTAAAGAGCTAAACGGAAAAGAAGGGCACATTAACTCAAATTTGAACAAATACTTTTTAACAAGAGGCCCAGGGGGCCACATCGCTCATCTGAGCTTTTGGCTAAGAAAAAGCAGAAATCAGTTCAATATTGAAAAGTTTAAATATAAAAGTGGTCGGAGGCTAATGATTTGAACAAGCTTGAATCTAAACTTCCTAAGGATGCTTTTGAATTAATATGACACATAATGACTCTTTTGATCTTAACATGAATTTTTATTGATATACTCTTTATATCCCTTTGTATAAATATGATCCCCTGTGTATCCCCTCTATTCTCCTGGAGGTCATGATTTGAACAAAGAACAAGAGCCACTTAGAGCCTTTTTTGGCCCTGAGAATTTCTGAAAAATCGAAACTGCTCAGTTTTGGTTGAAAATGTAGTATTTATAACTTGGACCCTTGGTGACCGTGTATATCTATTGAACATGACGTAATTTTCTCTCTAGTCAATGCATTATGACGTCATAAAATGCGTCATTTTCCCAATTTCCTCTAAATTCCCTTAAAAATGGCCAAAAGATGAGGTATTTTTTCAACATTTCATATAGAGCACAACCTCTGATCCAAAATATGCAATTGAATAATGAAAGATCTGTTTCTGAAGATCACAGAACATGTTTTAATTTTTGGATCGTGGGCTGTGCTCATATTTTAATTCTTTGTGGATGGTAGTCAAATACGCATGTTTTCTGCAAAATTCAAGAACATTGCATTTTCTCAAAGCCTGTTTTCCAATACCTGGATTCTCAAAAAAAGATTTGTTATAGGAAATGAAAGCACTAAGTCTCTACTTTATTCTGATATGTGAAATGGGACAGAGGGTGATAGTCAATTAATTGATATAAGGACAGGGCCATTTTATGCATAAAGTGAACCTAGCTCTTTAAATCTACATTAACTGAGGATGCTTCTGTATTATTATGACCAATCATGCCTTTGTTGTTCTTGTAAAGATTTTAAAAGATTTTCCAATGTTAAACTTTTATCGCCCATTTTGGCCCAATCCTACCGCCAGGAGTCATGATTTGAATAAGCTTGAATCTACACTGCCTGAGGATGCTTCCATATAAATATGTCTAATAGCCATGGCTTTGATGTTCTTGAGGAGATGACATTTAAAGATTTTTTTTTTCATATGTATTCCGATGTAAAACTTTGATCACCCATTATGGCTCAACCTTATCCCCTGGGGTCATGATTTGAACAAACTTGAATATACACCACTTCATAATGATTCCACATAAGTTTCATACCTTCAAGCACAGTGGTTCTTGAGAAGAAGATTTTTTAATGATGCCATTAAGTTTATACAAAATCATAATTATATCCCCTTGGAAGAAAGAGTGGCCCTTCATTTGAACAAACTTGAATCCCCTTTACCGAAGGATACTTTGTGGCAAGTTTGGTTGAAATTGGCGCAGTGAATCTTAAGAGGAGGATGAAAATGTGAAAGTTTAAGACTATGACGACAACGACGACGACGAAAACGACGACAACAGACAACGGACAAATTTCGATCAGAAAAGCCCACTTGAGCCTTCCGTTCAGGTGAGCTAAAAAAGCTCATGTTTATAGACGATGTCTCTAGGCGGGTCGTTTTTGTAATACTTGATGTGCTTTTTAATGGAAATGTTTGTACGTTAACTAGAATTTTATGAAAAAAAGTTGAGATTATTCTGTGAATGAATTGTTTCATAATGTCCAACACCACTTGACTTACCATTATCAGCATTCATTAACTCATGACCATGCTTAGTGGTATAAATTAAAACATTTTGAAAACTCACTGATACAAATGTATCATTTAATGTTTACCATATCCCCCTTTTTAAAGTATTAGCGCACAAGAACATCTAAATACATAATTCCGATAAAATAACAATTGATAGAACATACGGACAGCAAACCACATGTCATATTTTGACATCCTTTTATACGGTGACAGAATTTCATTTTACAAGTGCATGCAGACTGACAGTTCTCCCGAAAACATGGGTACCGACAGGGTAGTTCAAACGCAGTACCAAAATATTCTTTAATGCAATTTTAAAGGAAAATGTCATTTTAAAAAAAATATCAATACGTAATGTAGAATATTTTCAGTCGTGGTTTCCGTTTTTCAATATTATGAATACACTAATAGAGAGAAGAATTCTTGGACAAGGAGGATATTGTGCAAAAAACAATAAATAACAGGAGTACCGC